TTCTCGTTAAGACACGATATATCGATCCCCAAATGCGCTCATCGTCGACTCCGGAACTCCACCAGAGCGAGTGACGGTAGCGCAGTCGACGGGGGAGCCACGGCCGTCGATCCCGCGCCGTGTGGACCCCAGGTAATTCGATCCAAGATACTTCGACTTCAGCTATGCTATTCACGTAGCTGAAGTTGCGTATCTTGGATCGATCCCCCCCCCAGTGTAGACCAGCACTTACTCCGGAAGCTCCACTCCATATAAACCTATTGCAACATCATATACCAAAGATTAGGACTCAAAAGGGGAATATGCTTTTGTTCTTTCCAGCGTTCAAGCAAGAAAGATCCTGGACTTGTTTCTGCTCTCAGATACGCCGATTCAGGCCAAAGGAACTCATCTGAAGTGAATGAAGTTATAAAGTGAACAGAATTGTAAATGATACCAAATTCAAGCCTAAGGTTTCTATGAAAATCTCCCAGGTTTATAGAATCATTTTTCCTCTTGCCCTTTTTAAAAAGCGTATAAGCAAAATTTTCTCCCAATACAAAGTTTTCCATGAAACATTAGTCTTTAAAAAGATCCTAAAATGGGCGGTTCAAAGAAAAATTGTATAGGAAATAAAGTAGTGACATTGGCCATGGGAGAGGGGGGGAAATAACTCAACGGAGTGAGCATGCTGGAAATAAATGAGCCTGTACTCTCACCCTCTAAGCTTTAAAAGTATTCAATAGGTTTTAGCATATGAAGCTGAAATACAGAATTAATGGCAAGCGAGGCCATATTACCCAAAATCTCTCCGAACAGAGATCATGTGATACTCCCTCCCACGGTGCACCACTTGTAGGTGAATTGTATTTTTATTTGGACAGAGTGCAGGTATTGATTATTTTTGTTTCTGTGCAAAGCATATTTGTTAATTAGTGAATCCTAGACAGGTCTGAACCAAAATCCCACAGCCAAACATTGTGTCTCTAACAAGAAGAGCCAAACACCACAGACCTGATTATTCCTAAACCTGGGAGTTCTAAATCCAGATCTGAACTCTAGCTTTCCTGTTCAGGTTGTTTGGGTTCGGCCTACTAGAGAAAAAGGAATTTCAGCAATGAATTCAGATCCAAACCCAGCTCTGAGGTTCTTAATGTGGTTTTAGTTTAGGCCCATCTTTATTAAAGAGTATTTCTCCTTGTATTCTCTATTCTACCACTGCAGAGCCATGAAAGGCAGTTAGAGGGATTCCCATAAGGACTATGAGCGTCTCATCATGCAAGAAGGAGCTGTATGCTTTTATGAATTACACACAAGTCTCCAATAATAAAAATAAAAAGCTATCCAGTGCTACATTTCCTAAAGGACTAACTCGTACTTCCTTCACTTACACCAACAAAAACAAAAACCACCACATACAAAAGTTTGAGAACCACTGGTGTAATGTACTGGTGACCCCTGTCACATAGCAAGCCTCTGAATGCGACCCCCCCTTATAAATTGAAAAACACTTTTTTGTATATTTAACACCATTATAATTGCTGGAGGCAAAGCAGGGCTTGGGTGCAGGCTGACAGCTCACGACCCCCCATGTAAT